GAAACAGAGGTGCTATCTACCATCATCAACAATCGAAATCATAAATACTTATGCAAAAATATTGAGAGTTCTATTGGATCACACTGCAGCTCGAATTTTATCAATAGATAAGGTTTACAAGAATGGACAAAAACATTTACTTTTGTATAGCAGATGGGGTTGTGATGGGTCATCTGGACAAAGCCAGTACAAGCAAGCACTACCAGAGGAGTCTGAACTTATTTCCGATGCAAATTTATTTATTACTTCTTTTGTGCCTATCAGATTAACTGACGTGGAATCAGGCGCCATCACATAGCAAAATCCAGTGCCTTCATCTGTTCGTTTCTGTCGGCCTATATCTATAGAATTTTGCAAAGAAACGCCAGAAAAAACTAAATCGGTTGTAGATGAAATAAAAAATCAAATACAAACTTTGCTTCCATCAATAAGTAATATAGAAGGCGTGGGAGTCCAAGTCAAACATGAACTTTTTTTGACGATGATAGACGGAAAAGTGGCCCAAGTTTTAACAGATACGCCTTCTAGTTCCACATGTACAATATGCGGAGCAACTCCTAGACAAATGAATGATTTAACGAAAGTAATAGCTAGGCCTGAAAATGAAAATGCTTATCAATACGGATTATCCACATTACATGCCTGGATTCGTTGCATAGGAATGATATTACACATATCATATAATCTATCTTTCCAAACGTGGTCTGCTACAAGCGAAGAAAAAAAAAGACTCAAACAAGACAAAAAGGCTGAAGTACAAAAGCGATTTAGTGAAGAGTTGGGTCTAAATATCGATAAACCACGACAGGGGACGGGAAATAGTAATGATGGCAATACTGCTAGGAGATTTTTTTACAATGCTGCCTGTTCTGCTGATATCACAGGGATTGACATTGATTTAATTAAACGGTTATATATAATTTTGCAGGCTTTGTCATCTGGTATAGTGGTAGATAGTAAGAAATTTGGTAATTATGCTCTGGAAACTGCAAGAATATACGTGAGTAAATATAGTTGGTATTACATGCCATCATCTGTCCACAAAATTTTAATTCACGGAGAGAGTATCATAAACCATTTCGCGGTATTACCAATTGGGCAACTTTCAGAAGATGCTCAAGAATCTCGCAATAAGGACTATAAAAAATTTCGCTTACACCATGCTCGGAAAAGCTCTCGAATAGCTACAAACGAAGATGTGTTTAATACACCACTTTACACTTCAGATCCATATATAACGAGCATAAGAAAACCATATGCAAAAAATGTAAAGGAGCTCGATGAAGATACTTTCAAGTATCAAGGTTTTCACCTTCTCAAGGTTAATGAACTTATTTCAGATCCTGAAGCTCACCGGGTGTAAGATGTCAATCTTGCTGAGCAAAAAACAAGAAATATATATTGCGATAATTTTGATTTGTTTCTGTATGTTAGCGTAGTGTTAAAAATATTTTACCATTTTTAATTTTATATTATCAATATAATATGATAGTTATCTTAATAGAGTAATTAGCGTTAAGAAATAGACGTACAATATGTTTCTAAAAAATATTTCAATAAATAAATAATACTAATAATACTATTTTAAATCATTTTGTGACTTTTCTTTTTTAATTAAAAAAAAATACGCATAATTCCAATTCATCAAACATTACTTATATGAATCCTTATGTATCACTTTATATTATAGCAAAATTTTATAAGTCTATCTTTCAAATTGACGGAGTTACAGATTTTTAATCCGAAACACACCGAAATATTCCACAGTGCGGCGGGGTGGAAGGCGGCGGCTGTACCACCGCCTCTTTCCACCCTAGTGAGGCTAGCGAGCGGCGGACAGGGTGGTCCGTCACCCGCATTGCACAGTCTCACCCGTCGAGGGGGGATGCCTGGGTGCTCCCGGGCATCCCCCCGATCGCCAGGAGGAGGAGGAACCCCCTACCGGGGGTAACGTGGAGAGTCACCTGGATCCCACGAAACCCGTTTCGGCAGGCGAGGGAGCACTGTTGGGTTTTTAGTGGGTCGGGCGGCCCCCTTATCCCGGGCAGCCGCTGAGCCAGTTTGGCTGAGCGGGTGGGCGGGATGTGGGGGAGGATGAGTCCCACATAACCCCGTCTCTCACCCAGGGGCGGGTATGCGTCACGCATTTTCCCAACACAAAAAAAAAGTTAGAACTGCTGTACCAGCTATCTTTATTCTTTGCCCGCTCACGTGTTCCCTCCTTCCTGCAATCTGGGATCCTTTAAGAGAAGCGTGAAGAAGCATTTCTGCAGGCCAGCAAGGTGAGGATGGTTGGTGTGGCAGTTTATAACTGCTGTACCAGTTATCTTTGCGCCTGGACTTTACCACTACTTAACATCAGGTGGGGTGGAGTCATTTGTCGGACCTATCTATAAAACAAGAGTAGGCAACCGGGCACTGTAAGTACTGTACCCCTAGCACGAACCAATATCGAATTCGTATCGTTTGCGAGTCCGAAATGTCATTGTCAAATGTGTACTGATTTTTAGTTCTCGTTACGTACTTTGTGCCGCTGCTGTTCAAGTTTCCATACAAAATTTGACATTGACATTTCGCACTCGCAAACGATACGAATTCGATAATGGTTCGTGCTAAGGGTACTGTACCTCTAGCACGAACCACTATCGAATTCGAATAGTTTGCAAACCGAAATGTCAATGTTAAATTTTGTATGGAAACTTGAACAGCAGCGGCACAAAGTACGTAACGAGAACTAAAAATCTGTACACATTAGACTATGACATTTCGGACTCTCAAACGATACGAATTCGATAATGGTTCGTGCTAATGGTACTGTTGTATAAATGAGTGAGTGTGGCTATCAATAAATTAATAATTTGACAGTGACGTATTGTTTTCCTGCATTTGATTTGATTGAACCTATTGATATCAAAAAATGTTACATTTCTAATCCAATCTCTAGAGATAAATCTAATTTTTTTCAACAATTCATTTTGGCAGTCCAACTTTTCCAGCCAAAAACTCAGGTAAGTGTTATAATTTGTGGGTTACCTACAATGCGAAGAGATGGCGCTTCCTTGCAGCCTAAGAAATGGTAGAGAAAATTCGACAAGGCCATTAGGGCGGCGGTAGCATAATGGTCAGTGCATTCGCCCGGATAGCGAAGGGAACGGGTACGAGTCCCGTCTGCTACCTGGTCCGCGTAGAAATTTTCTACTATAAATATTTTTAGATTTTAACATCGAGCAGTTGAATAGTATAAAAATTTAAATATAAGTTATAATGTTAAATTTTCTACGATGATATTCATAATAATTTTATTGAAATGAGGCAACAAATTAAAACACTTAAAACTTTAAAAACCATTTAAATAACTCATATAAAATAAAAAAAGAAGTCGTTTTGTTAAACACCTTTATTTTCCGCCCATTTCTACACATTCAAATTAATATTCTATGAAATCAACTAGGTGCTTAATCAACCTACACTCAATGCCTACATTATAAAAAAAAATAAAGATGATCAGGTGTTGTTTACTCAATAAACATGACAGAGGACTTTTTGGCGGGATCGGGTAGCGTCACTTTAGCAGTTTTGTTTTTCTTGTTAAAAATTATGTAGTGGCAGATGTTAGAGTCTAATAATGGTGGATTATTAACCACTAAGTGTTCGGGAACATGCACAAGTGTTGGCAAGCGAAACAAAATAGCGGAAAGTGTCTTTCGACGTTCCCTCAAGAAGTTCACGGGGAGGTTCCAGTAAATCCCCACACATTTACTGAAACATAGGGAAAGGGGGTTTGACTTGACTGCCACTTACTTTTACTTTGACTTGATTCATTACTTTGACTACGAGTGCTAAAGAATTTGTAAACATTTTAACACTTGACATTGGCTAAATGCACAAGCCGTGCGAAGCCATTTAGAAAAAAAAAACATGACAGAGTAAATTTTCTTTCTCTTCGCAATACATTTTTTTACTATGACCTACCGCCAAGTTTTTCTGTAATGTGTTGCAATTCATTTTCTTTACTTATAAATTACGTGTTAGTTTTTGCGAATACTGCGTAAGACGGTAGCGAGGTAGTTTTATCATTATTAACACACAGACACAAATCATTATTCTATCTAAAGTTTCGCTTCTGATAAACGTAAGTATTTGCTGGTGATTTGCATTGGCGACCTCCCTGGCCGAGTGGTTTGTACGCCGGGTTTCATGGTGTCGCTGACTCGAGAGGTCCTGGGTTCAAATCCCGGTGAGGGCAGATGTTTGTGTGATGAATCCGAGCATTTGTACTCCAGCCATGGATGTTTAATATTTATTTCTATAAAAATATACTTATATAAGTACTGTCTATGTATTCTATCCGTTACCCTAGTATAAAAACAAAAACATTGTGTTACTAGTTATAATAAATAAATAATAATAAATATTTCCAACACTCACACCAATTAGCCTAGCTCCAAAGTAAGCACTGTAGGCTTGTGTTATGGGATACTAGGGTAATGGATAGAATACATATACTGTACATATATAAGTATATTTATATAGAAACTGGCTGTCCCAGCGAACTTCGTACCGCCATAAAAAATAGGGGTTGATTGTAAAGGGTTGAAAATTCAGGATTATATGTATTTACTACTGCTGTATCATAAAAATAAAAACCTAAAATTGAAAAAAAAAATTAGGGTTGGATTACCCTTTACATTTAGGGGGATGAAAAATAGATGTTGTCCGATTCTCAGACCTACCCAATATGCACACAAAATTTCATGAGAATCGAGAAAGTCGTTTCGGAGGAGTTTAACCACAAACACCGCGACACGAGAATTTTATATATAAGATACATATTAAACATCCATGACTGGAGTACAAATGCTCGTATTCATCATACAAACATCTGCCCCCACCGGGATTCGAACCCGGGACCTCTCGACTCGGCGACACCATGAAACCCGGCGTACAAACCATTCGACCACGGAGGTCGATGCGAAGCGATAGAAATAGAGAAAACTCACCGGAACTGGGCCTATCACTGTACCTAGTACAGTACACCCACGCGGGCCACACCATCGGCCCGCCTTCGCCCGTAGTTGTACCTGCAATTAAACATATAGCCATAGGTATACATAAACACAAAGCTAAGCAACTTTCGCAGTGGTCGATCATTGGATGGGTGACCAAAAATCTTCTATCTCGAGTCCCTGCGTGCTTCGGAAAGCACGTTTAGCCGTTGGTCCCGGCTGCATCTCCAGTCGTTAGCACCCGTCAATACGCACTGGGCCCGCGTGGTGGATCATGGCCTTATCTCCTTATTCTATCCATAGGGAAGGCCTGTGCCCCAGCAGTGGGGACATTAATGCTAATGATGATGATACGTAAACACAGGTAACCAATGTGACTCGGAGATAATACAGCTTGCTACTGATGAAAGAATTTTCAAAATCGGTTCTGTGGTTCCAGAATTAACTTCTTAAACCTACTTCTTACTTAACTCTTTTTTATATTGAAAGGCTGCCAAACAAGCATATGGCCTGCCTGTTAGTAAGCGGCACCAAAGCCCATAGACGCTTGCGATACCAGAACTATCAGACGCGTCGTTGTCAGTCAGTTCCTACCCTGGCCCAATCCCATCCCATAGAGCCCATTTTCTTTGTGACGCAGGCAAAACCTCTATTTACAGACGCAGCGCCTATAAGAGGCACACCGCCAGACGGACCTCACACTTGGCTCCCGTAAGCCTTGCGGTGGCTGCCCACAGAGGACCCCGTAACTCTTGCGCTTTATGGCATAATATCTAACCACCCAGCAGCCTCCCGGCCTAGCCGGGGCTCCACGACAGGGGTCTCCAGAGATATTGCGGGGACCCAGATCCCATAGAGCCCTGGAATCTTCGGGTCAGACGCTTGCGATACAAAATCTCCCGCCATTGCTGACCCAAAAAAAATATTATCCAAGAAAACAATAATCAATTAAGTGGTTAGAAAATTAAAACTACCTAGGTTCGTACTAGCACATACTACTTAGAATTTTTGAATTTAACCAATATCCCGGGGGAGGTCGCTTCTCCCCTGTACAGCTGTTATGGACAACTGAGAACTGAGACAAATGTTGGCGAGCTACAGCGAGTGCAGACAAGCGACGCCGAATAAGGTTTATACATACACGGAAAATTAGGCAAGCGACACCGAGCGATGACAATGCTGGACAAATATGCTATCTGTGGTACATATAACCAACATGGAGGAAATAATCACCTCCCCAGGACATAGCGCTACCAGCGCTGCGCTCACAACGTATGGAAGCCTAGATCGTGCAAGTGAAATTCGGAGGCTAACATTTCATATATGCAATGCCCGACCGCCGCCCCCGAGCTACCATCACCCAGCTAGGAGAAAGATCTTCCCCTTTGGCCTTCCTACACTAACTACACGTTGGTATTGGGCTTCGCTTGGCCAACATGTGGCTGGTGGCTTAACATGCTGTAGTAGGTATTTTTATATTGACTGTAAACTTACTCGTCGTGGAACCCTGATTGCTACTGCTGTCTTCATTCTTAGATAGATCAATAGCACCCGCTTTCTCGCCCGGTTTCACTTCGGGTACTCTAGATTCCAAATTGTCAGGTTTCGTTGGCACCGGTACAGTTTCCTTCACGGGTACAGTCTTAGCCTCATAATGTCTCGCCTTCAAACTCTTCCGTTTAGTAAGAGGGTCAGTTATTCTCCTACCGAAATCGGCCTTCAATATATTGTCTATGCTAAACTTTAAACAACTCTGATTCATGAAATCCCTCCCAGATTCGTCGCTCGGTGATTTAGGACTCGCGTAGTTCAATCGTCTGTTCTCGTCCGTCCTAGTGTTGCGAAGTTCTTGTGTCCCGTTTTTCCGTACACCAAAATTCAGACCGTAATGCTGCGCTGCTAAGTTTATATTGTTCTGCGGCAACGGCATCCTATTCAGTCCGTTGATGCCTGACTTCAAGTCCACTTGGTTCAACAAGGGGTTTTGAAACAAAATAGGTTGGTTTAGGAACATTAATGGGTTTGGCGTGATAGGACTAGGTCTAAGGAGTAAAGGCTGGTTCATGTTTAAGTTTTGGCTCAACTGGGATATTGCATTCAAATGAGTTTGTATATGTTTGAATGAAGTGAGACCTTGGGTGGTATCAGGACTCTTTTCGCTAGATTCATAACTCACTGGCGCTTCGTTGCCGACTGACAGAACTGTGTCATCGCTGCAACAAGAATTCTCATCATCTACGCTTATTTCTGGCCTAGATTCGTTCGTGTGATTCTCGTCATCGTCTATCCGGGGACTGACACTATCGGAATTTCTAGAACTTTCGTGGTGATCGTCGAAGTTGGGCGTGCTCTGCAACAGCTTTTCAGTCGAGAACACATTCTCTGGACTGTTCGTGTCTCTTTCTTTCTTTAGAACGTTGTGAATTGAGAAAGAGGATGTATGCATGGGTCTCTCCTCCTGCTTTTCATCTTCATGGTAATCGGGACTCGTCGTGTCTCTGGTATTGGGGGAGTACGGTTCTTCGTCGCTGTGGTCTTGGATTTTGATCCTGGAATCTAGGTGCACGGAAGTCGACACCGCCGCCATCTTGGCAAACTCGCGTCACGCCATCTGTTGACAAAGACGAAATTTAATTAAAATATTTTATAACAGTTTATTTTATATATATGTGAAGATTTTTCTATCGATTGAATTGGAATATATTAGTTTGAGTATTCTTTACATTGCTTTTCCAAAACGAGGTATACAATTTAAATGAAATAAATCAGTGAAAAGTTCCGTTCGGGATAATTATTGTACCGATTCAAGACGTACTTTTTATTGCATTCTCAATAGAACTACACGAATACAAATAGCCATATTGATAATTCTTCAGCTTATCTCTATTCCCGCCAACCCAGGTAATGTCAGAGATTCGATAAAATAGCTCTAAATTTCCAAACTTGCTACATCCTTGATTTTACCTTATGTTCGATAGCTTAGTGTCTTCTTTGTGTGAATTTCTCAATAAAAATCGGCTATTCAGATTATAGAATATTATTCAAATTAAAATACAGATCTTATAAAATTATGTGCGTACGTTCTTTTTGAATTCGAATCGCAAGAGAAAAGTGAATATATATAAAACTAATGAGTGAATGTAGTAACGAATGGGTATAGAATGAATGTATGAGCGGACGATGATGATGGACCGATTGTAGATTCGCTCATCGAAGGATAGATGGCGTTAACACCTAACTATCGTAATTTGCTCAGGAAAAATTCGATATTGTGCATTGCGTGTCCTTCTTTCGCTCACAAATAATTTTGATTATAAAATACGTACCTAAGGATTTCTTGGAAAATAATAAATAACACTTTTCTCCAGAAAATCTTTCGCGGTAAAAACTGAAAAAAGAGGAGCTCGATGGCGCAAGTGGTTAGCCCGTTCGGCTGCGATCGTTGAAGTTAAGCAACTTTCGCAGTGGTCGGTCATTGGATGGGTGACCAAAAATTTACTATCTCGAGCTTCTCCGTGCTTCGGAAGGCACGTTAAGCCGTTGGTCCCGGCTGCATCTGCAGTCGTTAGCACCCACCAATCCGCACTGGGCCCGCGTGGTGGGTCATGGCCCAATCTCCCTATTCCATCCATAGGGAAGGCCTGTGCCCCAGCTGGGGACATTAATAGGCTGATAATGATGATGATGAAAAACTGGAACCATCAAGCGGAAACCAAACCGCAACATTCAATACAATTATTATTACATCAAAAACCATGAATATTCATAAAAATAACCAAATAAGACATCAATGCGAAGAAACGGCTCATAATCCAGAACGGGACACGTTTTTATGTTCCCCATGAGTTTTTAATTCTAACATTTTCTCGCGGCAAATGTTATTATTCGCAACGCCATTTTGAGTAGACGCAAAAAACACAAAATGGCCGTCCCAACGATCAATTAATATAGAAATGGGGCATTTGTTATAATTTCCATTTATAAACGGAGTGAATAAAACGATACTTTGTAATTAATGTGTAATAACGATCGGCTTAAATGGAGTGACATAGTTGAACATGCATTTTAAGCGGTAATGTTGTTGCATTTGTTGTTATTTGCTTTGCTATTGTGGAAAACGGAAATTAAAAAATCTGAGGCCGGACTAATAGTTTATTTATAAGGTTATGACGCAAATCTATTGTCCGTAAACCAACTTTACAGACAACCAATTTTTTACAACTCTGAGTCTTACTAATTAATATTTTATTTTCAAGAAAGCTTTAACTTATAAATATCCTCTTTACACAAAATATAGTAGTTTCGCCTACTATTTTTTTCAGAAATATAGTACTTCATCACTAGCCTATTAATGTCCCCACTACTGGGGCACAGGCTTTCCTTTTGGATGGAATAGGGAGATTGCGCCGTGACCCACCACGCGGGCGAGTGCGGATTGGTGGGTGCTAACGACTGCAGATGCAGCCGGGACCAACGGCTTAACGTGCCTTCCGAAGCACGGAGGAGCTCGAGATAGTAAAATTTTAGCCTCCCTTATTTTAGCAGCCGAACGCGCTAACCACTTGCGCCATCGAGCTCCTCTATAGTAATATAGTATTTAATTTCCCTAATAAAGTAGGATACTCAATAATGTATGTTTGGCAACTCTAAGTATGAGTGCTAGCCACTGTACTGTGCCCTCCCCGGAACATATAGTATATCTACAGTGTCCCATGTGAATGATGGAATGGCCACGAAGGTTCACTGGTAGGAAACCACAAGTTGGTTTTACGAGAGCCATAGTAAAGGAGGTTACTCTACCATTTTAAACTGTTACACCCTTATTAAATTCTTTACCTATTTATTTCTTCACATAAGTAGAAAAAAGAACGCCGGTTTGCACTTCGGGAGTGCCGGCAGAAGTGAAAACTTGAATATTAACGTTGTGCATTTTTGATATTTTGGAATGGTTAGGGAATAATTTTGCACAAATTGCTTTAATTATCAGTATAAAAGTACTATCATGTATGTGGTAGAATATAATAGTTATTTATTGCGCTAGAGTACACAAAAATTACAATTTATATTACATTAAAAAAGGTTATTTCTCAGAAAAATCAACTTACATGAATCACGTTTAAGCGCACTTAGCGACATCTATTGTAAAAAAAATGCATTTTCTTCGCAATAAAGCTGCCACGTGGATGTCCTAGGCAGAGACTTATTATTATAATACGGCAAAATAAAATATTACTATGTTTCGTCCAATATATTGAAAGTCAACAACCTTTCTAATTTTATTGTGTAATGCAATCAGCCCACGTTTTTAACCTGACGCGAGTTTAACATTTTTTACCTATACAAAAAAAATGTACAACGCCGCCAAAGAAGTTTTCACTTCAAAAAAATCATTTACAATAAATTGCTTAATTACAATGTTTAATTACTTAATGTGAAGACTGGTGCTTGCAATAGGATAGACCTGTTCTACAAGACACCAGGCCTCCACTCCCAAAACTACCTGAACAGAGAAAGCCAACTTTGTACCATTTATGTGATTAATGTATTTATTAATATGAGAAGAGATAACACAATAATAAAAATAAAATAAAAAAGTATTTGTGTGTGTGTGTGTGTGCGTGTGTGTGTGTGCGTGCGCGCGCGCGCGTGTGTGTATGTTTTTGTGTGTGTGTGTATTATAATAATAATAATAAATATTTCCTACACTCATACCAATAAGCCTAGCCCCAAAGTAAGTACTGTAAAGCTTGTGTTATGGGATACTATGGTAACGGATAGAATACATATTATTATGTTGTACGTTTATAAGTATATTTATATAGAAATACATATTACACATCCATGACTGGAGTACAATTGCCTAATGGGATTTTTATGGCTATTGTCCGAAGGTTTTCAAATACCTAACGCTCATTTTCGTTAATATTGCTTTTACCGATGCAAAACAAAAAAAAACGAACGCGAGGCATTTCAAAACCTTCAGCGGTCAGGAGTAAAAAAATTAAATCGTAACCGATAGCGATAGCCATAGCAATCTCGTAAGGCGATTGGCCCCCAGTTCAGCATTATGTCAGTGCAGTGTGCACTGGCGCTGGTTTTCAACTGGGTCCTTTATTTGATAATGAATAATTAGACATTACTTCTGCTTAAGTTACGACCAATCTGCACAGGGCCTACATTGTAAGACATGGCCCATTCTCGCTATGCCATTCATACGGAAGGCCGTGTGTCCCAGCAGTGGTGACATTACAAATAATAATTAAGATTACTGAAAACGTGTGTCTCAACTAAACAGTTCCTAACTAATTTTTTAAATAAGACTTTTTTAAAGAAAATATAACTAGCAAAAATTCCACGCGGACCAGGCAGCAGATGGGACTCGAACCCGCACCCTTCGTTACCTATAATGGGAAGAGATGGCGCTGCCTTGCAGCTTAAGAATGGCTAGAAGAATTTCGACGCGGTCCGCGAGGGTCGCGGTAGCATAATTGGTCAGTGCATTCGCCCGGATTGCGAAGGGTGCGGGTTGGAGTCCCGTCTGCTGCCTGGTCCGCGTGGATTTTTTTCTAGTTATATTTTCTTTAGATTTAAACATCAAGCAGTTACATGCTTTAAAATTATAAAAATTATAACTATAAAACTTTTTTACAGACGGGGTGTAAATGGAAAAATCCTATCGAAAAGGTGAAACGAAAATGCGTCACGAGCGTCACACGACTATATATATTTATGTGTGTGTATGTGGGATGCGTGCGCAGCATTTCCCGACGTGCATGAAAGTTGGAGGGAAACTCGGCGAAGGCTGAAACGCTGCAAACGTCGCGATCGTCACACGCTACAATCTATATATATAAAACTCAAAGGTGACTGACTGACATAGTGATCTATCAACGCACAGCCCAAACCACTGGACGGATCGGGCTGAAATTTGGCACGCAGGTAGATGTTATGACGTAAGCATCCGCTAAGAAAGGATTTTGATCAATTTTACCCCCAAGGGAATAAAATAGGGAATGAAAGTTTGTATGAAACTTTGTCAATTTTAAACCGATCGGGCTGAGACTTTGCATGCAGGTATAAGAAGAATCATAGATGAATGTCATTGTGTATAATACAAGCCTGAGAACAAAAACTGTAGTCTACACTTCAGCTCTACACCGAAGCGAAGCGAGGGCGGGCCGCTAGTATTTATATATGAGTGATGCGTGCGCTGCTCCATTCCCCTATGCCTTATACACCGCCTAATGTTAGGTTATTTAAGAAAAGAAGTTTCACTTCAGATGTGTGGTGCGTGCACACTATTTTTTTAATAGGTATATTTTCTTCAACAATCTATTTTTAAATATTTCATCTTTTATTTATATTTAAACAAACATTCATTTAGTAGAGCAGCATTCGTTACACAGCGATCGCGGACCACACACGTCGAGTCGCGCGCGCAGCTAAACCAGATATTTCGCTTCGTACAAACAACCACAACTTTTACAACCGCAACAATGAAAACTCATCTCTATTACTATCAGCCACAAAGACTTTTGTTGCCGTACACGTAACTTTGTCTTGTTTAAGGGCTTGACTAATTTAATCCCAGTTACGAATTAATTGATTTTA